AGGAGAAAAACTTACAATTGCCCCCCTTAAAAACCCTTTCTCATAATTGGAGTCACCTGTGTATGGAGGTCAAGGGTCACTGAACTTAAACCAAATTTAAGTTCCAATAATCAGTTCTAAAGGTTTTGAAATCAATAAAACAGCAACGGTGCCCAAATTTATGCACTTGCCTAATTTTGTTTAACCAATTATTGTAGTTTCTGTAAATCATATCAACTTCATTTCACTTCTCAAATATCACTGTGTTTGTCCCCTATATGATGTATTTAACTGATTTTTTTTAATCCAAACAATCAATGATTTATAAAGGTGAACCAGGAAAATTAACAAGTCCGCCCAAACTTTCACACCCCACTGTAAATGATTTTGTTACAAATTTTAGATGATTGTTTAAAAAAAGACCAGTTTGTATAATTTTGGGCTTCGCAAATCTTCTGACAAGTTAAGTACAAGTTTAATTAAGTTTAATTTAAGTAGTAATCAGACCTGAAAAATAATTTTAATTTTTAACCCTGTAGAAGTTTATTTAAGAACTGTAGTTTAACACAGTTTGTTTTTCCTGTGTTAAAGTGTGTCTTCCTGTTTCAGGCGGAGTACTCTGAGCTGGTGGAGACCCTGCTCTCCTCTCAGAGAGACGCCATCATCTACCAGCGGCTGGCCGACGCCTTCAACAAGCTGATGGCCAGCAGCACGCCGCCCACCATGGACCGCAAGCAGAAACTCGCCTTCCTCAAGAGCCTGGAGGAGTTCGTGGCCAACGTGGGCGGCCTCCTCTGCGTCAAGTAGCCGCTAGACACCGCCGCGGCCTGGAGTCGAGCGCCGTGTGGAAAAGCAGCCAATGGAAGGCCCACTTCCTGCTTCACCTGTGCTGACTGGGCGCAGCAGAGACGCTCTGGAGGAGCTGAGAGCTTCTTCTCACCTGAATGTTCCCCTGTTTTCACCTGGGGGGGGGGGTCGTCTGTTAGTTTCTGTTTTCAGCCCTTATGTTTTACACCTGCCTGTCCCGCTGCACCTCCTGCATGATTGACAGATCTCATGATGACGTGGCGCTTCCCGTGGAGACGGAACCGGACGGACTCAAAGGTTTCCTCTCTGTCGGGTTCAAGGAACTGAGCAAAAACCATCATGAGTGGCACAACAGCAGCTGGTGCTCCTCCTCCTCCTCCTCAGGAGTCTGAAGGCTTCTGGAATGTACACACAAACACACACACACACACCACAGTCCTTCCCAGAGTGCCTTTGTGTAGTTGATTGATGTGTGTGTGTGTTTGTGTATGAATGAATCATGGGAAAAGAGACAATAAATGACCGTGCCTGCCAACAGTCCACAGACACACACCAAAACGCATGCACAAAGAGTTGCCATGTTGMCAGATGTGTTGCCGGTCCTCGCAGCACAAGGTGGTGTCCGCTTGTTGGTGACAACACAAAACCAAAATCAGATTGTTTCACTAAAGCGTATATACACATATATACAGTGTGTAAATAAATAAATGTATGATGTTTGAGCTGAAGCCTTCAGAAATGTACGTTTTGAAGAATGAGGACGACTGAAATGTTTTTTATACGCCAGCTGACGGCGACTTGTTAGAGTTCAGCTAAAGTGGGAGCAACTTTCTCTGTGTTGATCTTCAGTTAGATTGGGTTTTGTTTTTGTTTTTGTTTGTAGTTTCTAAGGCCCACTGTCTGCACTCAAACGAAGGCCTGACACGAGTCAGGCTTGTGGGACGAGGCAGGTTAGTTCCAGTAGTTTTTATTTTCTCTGCAGCAGCACATCAACAGTTCGACTCTTCAACACACACTGGATTATAGCAGAGACTGAAGGACAACAGCAGCAAACCAAATAAAGGAGCAGAGCCACTTGGAGTCAGAATCCACCTCGTTCTGAGCACTAACCCACTTGTAGATGGCTGTTTTTGTTAATGAAGTGTAAAAGTGTACATAAAGTTGTTGTATAAAAGGTTTCTGTGGGGTTTTTTTTGTTTTGTTTTGTCTGCTTTCATACTTTTATCTATTTTAATACTAAATGAATTATGTGTGAGATTCCATACAAAAGAGTGTCTGCAAACTTCATTAATTCTTGACCATAAAACCATAATTTACTTTTTAATAATTTAATTTTAATTAACATCTTTTTTTTTAATAGTCAGGAAACTTAATTGCATTTCAAATTCTTTTTTTTGCCTTCAATTAAACCACTTGGTACCATTTTTACTACATTTTTAATAAAACAACCGAGGTGAAAACAGCTGCTTTCTCAGTGCTTTTTGCAGCAAACAAGACTTGAGTCTTTTTAAACTGTTAACATGATTTTTACTTAGTGATCAGACATCAACACTGAAGAGGTTTTAAAGGGATAAACTGCAGCTGTCTGCTGCATTAACAATAAATCTAGTTTTAGCAGCAGATTAGAAATGTTTGTTCTTTAACCCTTAAGTAAGCTACCATGGCTATAATGTTGATTTTGGACAAACATTGTTATGGTTGTAAAAAGACCAGGATATGTCTTAGGTTTGAGAGCTTTGGTTCTTTTTTCCATGAGTAGTTAAACTTCACTTTTTAACATTTGGTTATTGATTATTGCACATTATAAGGAAATTTCAGTAGTTTAAAAGAAGAAAAATACAAAAACGAAAAAAAAAATTCAAGGTTTATTGAGAAATAATATTC